GTCATGATAGTCTACATTTTATATAGTTTAAAAACATGGGATCATACAGTAGGTACTCCTTTTTGTCTGGCGTCTTTCACTCAGAACAATTATTTTGAGATTCATCCATATGGTTGTGGGTATCAAGGGTTTATGGCTTTTCATTGCTGAGTAGCATTTCTTTGTATGGATATGCCACAATGTGTTCGCCCATTTACCTGTTGAATATTTGGGTTGTTTCCGGTTTTTGCCAATACAAACAAAGCAGCACAAACACTCACATTAGGTCTTTGCATGGACATAAGCTTTCATTTCTCTTGGGTGAATACATAGAAGTAGAATGGCTGGATTACATGGCATGTATATGCTTCACTTTATATACTTTAAGAAACTGTTCTATTTTCCAAAGTGGTTGAACCATTTTACACTTGCACCAGCAGTGTATGAGAGTTCCAATTGCTCCATATTCTCATCAGTACTTGGTGCGGTGTCTTTTTAGTTTTAGCCATTCCAATTGTTGTGTAGGTATCTCATTGTAGTTTTAATTTGCATTTCCCCAACGAATAATGATGCTGAGCATCTTCTTATGTGCTTATTTGCCATCTGTATACCTTCTTTAGTAAAGTATATGTTCAAATCATTTGCACATGTTTAAAATGTTTTTTATTTTTATCGAGTTTTGAGAGCTCTTCATAAACTCTGGAAAAGCCCTTTATTAGATATACAATTTGCAAATATGTTTCCCATTTTGTGGCTTTTCATTCCCTTATCAATGTCTTTTGAAGAGGAGAAACTACTTTTATAAAATCCAATATATCTTTTTCCTTTTATAAATTATGCTTTATCTCTAAGTATTTCATATTTTTATGCTACTGTAACTCATATTATTTTTTAAATTCTAATTCCAGATTTTTGGTGCTAGTATATAGATACACTTAATTTGTAAACATTTGACTTGTATCCTGCAAACTCAATAATTCACATATTAGTATGAGTAGCTCTTTTATAGATTCTATTGGATTTTCTATATAGGAAATCATGTCGTCTGTTTATAAAGACAGTTTTATTCTTCTTTTCCAATCTTGAGGCCTTTGATTCCTATTTCTTGACTTATTGTACTGACTCGAATGTCAGTACAACACTGAATAGAAATGGCGAAAGTGGATATACATCCTTGTCTCCTTCCTGTTAGTTGGGGTAAAGCATTCTGTCTTCCACTTTAAGCACTATGTAAATGGTGGGTTTTTTGTAGACTCCATTTATCAGTTGAGGATGTTCCCTTTTATCTCTAGTTTGCTGAGAGTTTTCAGGAATAGATGTTGCATTTGGTCAAATATCTTTTCTGTGTCTTTTGAGATGATCACATAATTTTAGGTTTTTAGTTTGTAAGTATGATAACATACATTGATTGATTTTTGAATATTAAACTAAAATTGCGTTCTTGGGATAAACTTCACTTAGTCATCATGCTTTTGGATGTATGATGTTTTACTGGATTCAGTTTGCTAAAATTTTGTTTAGAAATTTTCCAGGGGGCTGCCCTGTGGCTGAGTGGTTAAGTTCTCGTGCCCTGTTTCAGCGGCCCAGGGTTTGGATCCTGGACGCGGATATGGCGCCACTCGTTAGGCCATGTTGAGGTGGCGTCCCACATGCCACAACTGGAAGGACCTACAACTAAAAATATATAACTGTGTGCTGGGGGGATTTGGGGAGAAAAAAAAAATCAGGAAGAAATTTTCCATTTATATTTATGAGGGATATTGGTTTTTTGCTTTCTTTTCTTGCAACGTTTTGGTCTGATTCTGGTAGCAAGGCAATACTGGCCTCATAGAATGAGTTGGAAAGTGTTCCTTCGTCTTCATTTTTCTGGTATTATTCTGGTTCTATTCATTTTCTGGTATTATTTTTCCTTAATTGTTTTGTAGAATTTACCAGTGAAGCCATTTGACCCTGGAGTTTTCTTTATGGGGATGTTCTTAACTATAAATTCAATTTCTGAAATAGATATAGGACTATTCAGGTAATCGATTTCTTCTATGGTGAGCTTTGTTGGCTTATATCTCTCAAGATATACCTCTATTTCATTTAAGTTGTCGAATTTGTTTGCATAATATTGTTCACAATACTCCCTTGTTATTTCTTTCATATCCATAGGTTTTCTAGTGTTGTCATTGCTTGCATTCCTGTTACTGATAATTTGTGTCTTCTCTCTTTCATTCCTGGCCAGTCTGGCTAGAGGTTTATCAATTTTATTCATCTTCTCAAAGAATCCCTTTTGGCTTCATTGTTTTTCACTCCTGTTTTTCTGTTTTGTATTGCATTTTTTCCCACTCTGATTGTTATTATTTTCTCACTTCTGTTTGCTTGCGTTTAATTTGCTCTCCTTTTTCTGGTTTCTTAAGGTGGAAGCTGAGGTTACTGGTTAGAGGCCTTTCTTCTTTTCTAATATAGGCATTTAGTGTTACAAAATTCCTCCTAAATACTTTGAGATGTTTTAGTGGCACCACACAAACTTTTTAAAAAATTTGTTTAATGTCTGTTTTTTTTTCTTTCCAGCTTTATTGAGATATAATTGACATATTAGCGTAAATTCTGATATGTAATGTTTTCAATTTCCCTTTTGAAGTTTTCTTCCACTCTGCTCCTTTTAATCCTTTCAGAACTTCCTTCCTTGGCCTCAGGTGACTTCATCACCTGCATGTGCTAATTAGTACTCCCCTGGCAGCTTGAGAGGGACCTTCTGCAGACCTTTGGAGTTCTCTCTCTGTGCTTTTCTCTCCTCCCTGCTCCTGTGTCCTTGTGAAGTCTGACTTCTGGATTTCCCGGACTCTCAGCTCTGTCTCCTCAACCCAGGGAGCTGGATTCTGCCTGAGTTCCTTCTCCCAGAGCCACAGCCTTCATTGTCTTATGTCCATTGTCTTGAAAATTACTGTTTTGTATATTTTGTTCAGTGTGTTGGTAATTTGGTTGGGAGGTTAAATGTATTCCCTATTACTCTATTTTAGTCAGAAACAGAAGTTAACAGTATTTTTGTTTTTGTTTTACAACTCAGTTGGATGTTAAAATGAATTTATTGGGTTATTTCAAGCATTAAAAAATGAAGTGGTATAATATAAAAAATAAAATATTAGTGTATTCCATGCATTAAGAGTAAATAAGTTTTGTTTTGTGAAACTGTTTTTAGTTGTATGTACATACGTGCGTGCATTGGATTGTGATAGAAAGGGCATTTCTTACTGTGGGTCATGGTGAAACCAGCTTGAGAAGCACCATTCTAAGTACATCATAATCCAGTACAGGCAGGGGTCTGCAACGCTTAGTCTCCATCTCTGCTTTGAAGAGTTCATATGATCTGGGGAAAATTATCTCTATGTCATTTTGTCCATCTGAGAAATAGTCCTCATCTCCCACAAAGCTATGGTCTGAGAATCCCTGAAATAATGTCTATGAAATATCTTGTAGGTCTTAAAATTGAGAAAGACCCACGATCCTATGAGTGAAGAAATGAATATCGATTGCCTGGTGTGTTTCAGGCTCTGTGCATGACAGTGTTGAGTTACCAGCGTGGGTGAGAGGGAGGTCCTTCCTGGCCCAGTGCCAGAACATACCCGGCTCCTGGAGGAGGCAGAAGGTGGGGCTTTAAGAAGCACTGTGAGAACTCACAGCACAGGGAAGATTCAGAGATGGTGGAGATGGGAAGGAGAGGGTCCAGGCGGAATCATTCAGACGGATTTGCAGGGTTAGAGGTTAAGAAAGTGAGAATGTAGAGAGCCTGTTTGAGGAATCTCAACTTTATTTCATTTATTCATCAAGCACATACACATACATATTTTCAAACCTACTATGTCCTTGAGATATATCAACGAATAAAATAAAGATCCTTGCCTTGATGGACTTTACATTCCACTGGGAGAATACAATAAACGATAAATATAATAAGTAAATGATCTGTTAGAAAAACGGCAAGTACTATGGAAGAAACAGCAGGGGAAGGGTGATTAGAAGCGGGGCCGCCAGCTCTAATTTTAAGTGGGGGATATTCAATGGGGCACATTTAGAATCTAAATATTATAGTAGTGTATATCTGTTATAATACACCTTCTAAAAATATTCCAACGTAATTAGAATCTTCTGGTCTGCAAACCACGCTGAAACTGCCCATCCTTTGGAGGTTGCATTGACACTTTGCGGCCACTAGGGTGCAAATGAGCCATTTCTAACAAAAATGAGATGAGGGTGTGAGTGTGAGAGAGATGTGGGTAATTATGCACACACCCCTGCCCCAGGTATTCCGCAGGGTCAGCTCCAGTTAAGGACACTGGCAAGACAGGCGGAAGAGTGTTATTACTTTGTGACGTGGAGCAAGACATTTTTGCCCTTGGCTTCCCTTCCTTGGCACGTCCTCGCCCAGCAGGGGATGGGGGCCCAGTAGAGAAATGAACTTCAGCTTGGCCATTCAGCACCCAACGCGTGTCCAGCCGAGTGATGGTGGAGAGAGGCAGACCTGCTGGCCTGGTCTTCCGGCGCTGCAGCAAGATTTCTGGGTGCTGCGGAAGGATTTCCGCGGTTACACTTGGCGCCCAGGGTCTGTACAAAAGCCCACTAGATGCTTTCCGTTCCCTCGTAATATTTAAGGCGTCCTCGACATCTAAGCATTCACCTTGACATTGGGGTTTCTCGATCCTTTCCACTCCCAGCCTCTGTGGGCAGATTGGTGACCATTCTTATCATTTGGACGAAATCCCATCCGATCGCCATTTATCGCTCTGAGAGGTGCCCACCTTTTTCCCAGGCAGGAGCTCGAAGAGACCCGGCGAGCAGCGCGCTGGCAGGCAGGGCCGCGCGCGTCGGGCGCTGCCGGTTGCGCATCTGGCGCCAGAGCGCGCCCCCTGCGCAGTGCCCGGCACCGCCGCGGCCGTGGGTTGGTGCTCCCGAGCGTGCCGGGCGCTCTCTCCCCGCGCGGGGGCACCAGAGCCCTCAGAAGTGTCGGGCACTGCGGTGCATTTTCCCAGTTCCCTTTTAAATGACTGCGGAAAAACAGACTCTCCGATCCGCAAATGGGAAGACGGATTCTCAGACAAGGCTTGCGAATGCCCCGCAGCCATCATTTAACTGCGCCTGCAGAGCAGTTAAGGTTTGTCACCCGACCCTCCCGGATCGCCTCATTTGTCTTTAGTGAGACCCCGAGGCTCTGCCCGCGCCGGGCTTCTCGGTAGCTGGATGCATGTCGTGCTGGGGCAGCGCGGGCGCAGGGCACGCGTTCGCGCACACCCGCGCACACACGAAAACGCGCAAGGTACGGCAGGGGAGCAAGGGCTCGGGGTGCCCTGCGTGGGGGTGGGCATCGCAGGGAATGAAGCTACGATCTGGGAATGGCTGCATCCTGCCAGGTTGAAGGATGAGAGAAAATGACGCGGCGCCACACACCGGACAGGCCAGGGTTGCTGCCGCGCATTTAGAGAACCCAATACGAATCAGGCGCGCTCCCTTCCCCTCACATGTCTCTATTTCCCCGGCGTGTGGTGCCAGAAAACGGCAGGAAAGAGACCCACTTAGAGAGCTAGTGTTGCGTCTGGAGACTCCCCTCCCTCTGTAAAGGCACTAACAGGAAGACCCTCCAAAACCACGGATCCCCAAATAGATGGCCCGGAATGCGGGCGGTTATCCTTGGTTGCTAATGCTGAACACGTTTTGGTGTTTACAATATTTATTTATTTTTAGGCTTGCTCGCCCTCCCTTTTAGGCAGGATGGGAAAGGAGAACGCAGTGGGGAGGGAGAAGGGAGGGAGGATTCCTATAATAAGAATCAGCGCATTTTTCAGAGCTGAACCGAGCCGGGTTTCCATTTCAAAAAAGGAGACAGCCTCTACTGCGAATGTAGAAGAGACCGAGGTGTGAATTAGGGACCAGGAGGCGTCGAGCGGCGGAACGGTCCATCTCAGAGGTACCTGGATCTAAACGCAGTCACATACACACGGGCGCCCCCACACACACAGGCGCGCGCGTCTACACGCCAGGATGTGTGCGTGTGTGCGCGTGTGTGAACTCCCACATGCTGCTGCTGTCTGCTTCTGGCCAGTGGCACCGATACCTCCCTCCTCCCCGCTCGCCCCCAGCTTCCCCTCCCATCCCTGTTGCTTTTGTCTGGAGGGTGTTATGGGTTTGTGTGTGTATGAGCGTGTGTGTTTTTGGATTTCAGACTAATTTTCTGGAGTTTCTGCCCCTGCTCTGCGTCAGCCCTCACGTCACTTCGCCAGCAGTAGCAGAGGCGGCGGCGGCGGCGGCGGCTGCTCCCGGAATTGGGTTGGAGCAGGAGCCTCGCTCGCTCCTTCGCTCGCGCTCTCCGCGCTCAGTCCCCGGCGGCAGGAGGAGCCTGGACCCAGGCGCCTCCGGCGGGCAATAGGCGCCGGAGCCCGGGTGAGCAGCGCGGACAGTGTCCTCCGTCGTCTCGGCCCTCGCTGTCCCCCCTGGGGCGGCCGCGGCGGCTCCCCAGGTGGGACGCGCCGCGCCACCTGCCCGCGCCCCCTGCGCCCAGCGGCCGTGGTGGATTCTGCAGCATCATTCGGAGGCTCAGTCTCGGAGCCATCGCAGCCGGCAGCCTCCGCGTCCCCTTTTAAAGGGTCCTTCGCCCGGCCTGTGCCATGGAATTCTCTCTTAGGGACCCTTGCCCTATCTCCTCTCCCTCGACCACAGGCTTAGAGAAAGGGTGGGCACACTGGTGGCCCAGCGGTGTAGTGCCATCGAGGAGCAAGTTTATTTCTGGGGCTGGAGCTGGGCACTCATCCATCCACAGTCTCCTGGCTGTGGTCGGGGTGGGGGTAACGCGAGCGCGGAGGGAGAGTGCTCCAGTTCGTGGTGTATGGGGTCCTGCACTCAGTCTTATGCGTGTCTGTTTGTTCTCAGCCTGGAGGTGCGTCCCGGATCCCAGTGTACGTCTAGCAAGGAGGCTGCGCCCCAGAGAGTCCGGGGAGCGCCGCCGGCTGGTGCCCGGCGCGCCAGGCCATGCAACGGCGGCAGCGGCGGAGCTCAGAACGGCGGTAGCGCCCCCTGTGAGGCGGCCAGAGATGCCCCGGCCGCTGTAAACGGTGCCGCCCGCCAGGACACGCTCAGCCCTGGACACGCTCTGCTCTGCGCGCCCGCGACGAGCACCGAGTAGAGAGAGCGGCGAGCGCTGTGAAGGCTACCTAGCCCTGGGAGAGGAGGCCAGCCGGTGCAGCGCAGGGACACTACTCAGTCTGACTCCGGCTGGCACTGGCGGCTAGGGATGTCGTCCTGGACGAGGTGGCATGGCCCCGCCACGGCGCGGCTCTGGGGCTTCTGCTGGCTGGTTATGGGCTTCTGGAGGTCAGCTCTCGCTTGTCCCACGTCCTGCAAATGCAGCGCCTCTCGGATCTGGTGCAGCGACCCTTCTCCTGGCATCATGGCATTTCCGAGATTGGAGGCTAACAGTGCAGACCTTGAGAACATCACTGAAATGTGAGTTCCTGGTGCTCTTCTCTTTCCTTCTCTCATTGCCCCTGGTGCTGGGGTTGACCAGGCAGGTCTGTCCCGGGCATGATTGTTGTCTCAAGTCGGGGAGAAGTCAGAGATGAGGGATGCGGGCCTGGACCGTCTTTCAGTTACCTGTCTGTTTCACAGGCGTGGGGCTGCTAACGCGGGGAGAAGCGTGACAGTTTAAAATAAGTTTTAAATATATATGTCAATGATATAAATATATATATATTCCTGGCAGGAAAGGATTCCATATCCACTTTCTATTTCGAAGGCCTACTGAGTGTGCTTCAGGTTTATCCATATACAATAACTTAGTTTTGGACATTTTCGTTTAATAAGGTGCTATGTGTGTGTTGTGTTAGGAGAAATTCCAGTAATATTTACTACAAAGGTTGTTAAAATAATGAACTTTTGGAAATTTGTTGAAGGAGGTTAGAGTCTCCCCAGTAAAGCTCTCTCCTCCTTTCTCTGCGCTTTGCAGTTCACCGATTTCCCTTTTCATTTAATATATCAGATTTTGCTTAGGAGATTGCATCCAGAGATGGCCTTGAAAATGATCTGTAAGAGGAGAAGTTCTGAGTGTTGAAATGCACTCGCTCAAAAGAGAAAATGTGCTCTTGGAAGCCTAAAAGCCTGGTCTGATTTAATTTGGACTTGACTTGCCAGAGATATAATTTTGAGGCCATTTGGATTATAAATCTTAATTGCCTATTTAATAATTTCCCAAGACTAGGTTGGATGATAAAGCAGTGTGTAGTGCTCTGATGAGTGCTGTCTTTAGCATGGGACCTCTGTGCTCCTGGAAAAGTGTGAGCTTGTTCTGGTCTGAGAGAGAAGCAGTGTTGTGTATTTCTGTCCTTCTCTTCTGAGGCCTTGTGACAAATACATTACCAAGTAGGAATTCACCAGTCCTTGCTCCAGAATTCCCCATCACCTCAGCTAGAGGTGTTTTATTTTTTTCCTAAGGACTTTGTCCTTTTATGAACATGAGATTTTATTTGTCCGTGTTGAGGGTTGTCAGGCAGAGTTTCTCCCGGTTTTCCTAAGGGTGTTTGACACAGAAGTAGGCAGCCCCGAAAGCAGAGCTGGGGCTGTGGCCTTCCGGTTGGCGAGTGCGCATGCTTTTCTTGCCCCCACAGAAAACGCACTCCCTGTTTCTGCCAACATAGTTGACCGAGATAACCTGTTTTTTGATGTAAGTAAGAGACTTTCGTAGTGTCTGTTGTTTGCTCTGCTGGCGATGCTCATGTTATAAGGCTCGGGCGGGAGGAAATGACAACAGAACAGAGGGGAACGTGCAGGCCTAGCTTAGCTGAGATATGCCGGGAGCAGCCAACTGTCAGGCTGGATCCAGGATGCTTGGGTCTCAATCTTTTTGGCAAGGATAGCAGCAGGCAGGGCCAGAGAGGGCCGGAGAGGCACAGTGGGTAGGGCCCCAGCGGCACTGATGGAGCCCCACCAGGGTAGTCAAAGTGTCTGTGGCCTTTGTAGGGTCTGTGTCTCTTTCATGAGACGGGGTGTCAGTAGTGGGAGGGAGGAAGCCATGTGGAACTCAGAGCTCTTCAGACTACTGTGAGACCACGAGGAGTACCTTTACACAGCTGGGTGTTTTTTGTTTGTTTGTTTGTTTTTAAATTCTGTTTTAGATGATAGATATATAATGAAGGAGGAAATGAGATAGGGCCAATCATTTTCACTTCAACATTTGTTTGACTTTAATATTTTTTAAGACCATTATTGGAGGAAAGAAAATAAAACTCCCCTTAAGTTTAAAAAATAATATTTTAAACCTTTGTGGTCTTAGCTGCCTGATAGATATGAAATCAATAGCTTTGAGCAGAGCTTTCTTATATCTATTCTCACAGTTACTGTTGTCGTGCCTTTTATATCTGATGGCAGCTTCCCATTGTCAGTCTTTTTAAAATTGATTTTGTTTTATATTTACCCAAGAATTTGTCACAGCTATTCGTTCAATAACGGCACTCCCAATTTCTACTCTTATTTGTTTCCCCCTTTTGATCTGAAAATCCACTGAGACGGAAGGAATCGAGAGGTGTGTAGGGAGGAGCGTTCGGGGGGAGCTGGATTAGCTGGGCAGCAGACGTGAGCTGTGAGAAAAAGTCCGCAGTCTGCTCAGGCCCTTGGCTTGGTGGGAGCCCAGCCCGTTTGTGCCCTCGTGTCTTTATCCGTAAAATGTATCAAAATCCTTGTTTGGAAAGCACTTCATATGATTATTTTGAATTCTGCTGTTTTGATATCAAAATGACATCAGTGGATGAGCCTGTTTCACTCACATCCTTATATGACACCATCTGTGCGCTTTTTCTTACATATTAATATTTGCGCGAACAGCTTTTAAATTCCTGGCCAGGGGATGCCAGCTACAGTTGGAACCACATTACACAATTTTTTGCTTTTACTTTGTTATTAGACCCAATGGAATTCCTAAAATAACCTATTTTAAAGTTCTAGTTTAATGATGTTTAGTTGAAATTACGTTTCTATTTTTTTAAATAGGAATAATGTAAGTAAATAAACTATGATTAGAACTTGCTGAAGCAACAGCTACCGTATCATTTAAAAATCGTATATCTTTTCATATCTATATTGGGAGAAAGTACCAGCACTGTGCCTTTTACGATTCAGAGAGCCTGCGGTCGACCATTTGAAAACTGTATGCATGATTAATTAAGAGAGAGACTTTTATTTTTTATCTCCATGCATATTTGAAGCCAACTTGACATTTCCTTTTCAGAGCCATTGTTTTAACGTTTTATTAAAAATCTTCCCATGACAGTATGTGTCTCACACCTTTACCCACTAACGTGATCATCTCTCTGTCTATAGATATTCACCACCCCGCCCAACGCCACACTGCTGACAAGTGCCAGCTTCTGTTGTTTGGGGACAGTTTTACCGAAGCAGTGCTAAATTAAATTTAAAAACAATGCCCTTGTCACATGTAAGTGGAATTCGAGAGTAGAGCCTGTTGTTGGAATTATGTAACCAGCCACTTAAACCTTAGTTGTAGCAAGTGGCGAAAAGCATCACAAAGGACAAGGTCTGTCTCACCAAACTGGTGAAAGGGGTGGTTAAAGTAAGTCGTGCACTTTTTTTATTGTGATCAAGAATATATAACATAGTATTTACCTTCTTAACCATTTTTAAGTGTACCATTCCGTGGTGTTTAGTACATTCACATGGTAGTGAAAGGGCACGCATTTTTATATTGCCCACTTTTTTAATTTTATTTTTGATGAGGAAGACTGGCCCTGAGCTAACATCTGTTGCTAATTTTCCTCTTTTGGCTTGAGGAGGATTGTTACTGAGCTAACATCTGTGCCAGTCTTCCTCTGTTTTGTAGGCGGGATGCCTCCACAGCATGGCTGATGGGTGGTGTGTAGGTTCACGCCCGGAATCCAAACCTGCGAATGCCGGGCTCCTGAAGTGGAGTGTGCGAACTTAACCACTACACCACTGGGCCAGCCCCCTATGTTGCCCATGTTCTGTCAAGCCCAGTGATAACCTTTTTTTCTGAATTTATTGGATTGTATTCTCTGATTTGGGGGTAATAGTTGGAGACAAGTCTAATATTTTCCTCTTAGTACAACAGAAACAGAATTTGCAGTTTCTGCTCCAGAGCTCCTGTGTGTATTTTATTGTTGGCTTGGTTAAGCGGCTGTAATGTTATGTCATTAATACATTGATTTTGGCACCCTCACCTTAGCAAGCTTTTCCACTGCAATTAATTGTACTAAAAAACTCTGGCGTTTATAAGCATTCAGTGAAAGACATCAGCTTTGGTTATTCTGGTATTTACTTCTCAGCCCCTCCACCGGGGCTTCTGGAACTTTGGATTATGCTTTGCATGCACTTAAGAACCACAGTGCAAGTTCTGAGTGTGGGTACATAGGCCACACTGGACCTGTTAATAAATAAGGCAGTCTCATTTACTTCATTCATTATTTAAGACAACTTGCAAGCGGGAGTTGAAAACATGCCGTCTTCATAGTGAAGGTATTTACAGAATACAGCTCAGCACAACTATTTGCAGTCTTGTTAGTTTCAATCTCTGCATTACGGAAGGTTTTATTACATTGGGTAAAACAATTGAAAAGCCGGTAACCCTTCTGACCCCACTTGCTTCCACCTCCCTCCTTTCCGTCACCTCTCATTGACTGTACAGGAAAATGTGTGTGATTTTTTTTCCTTCTCCGAAAAGTGATATTTCCTTATGGGAATTCAGAGCACTAGAGCTAGGAGAAGAGCCTGGGTTGTGTTATTACAAGCCAGTAATGGGAAGTTGAGATAATGTGCTCACAGCCCCCCAGCGCTGAGCCGAGTTCTGTTTAAGCTCTTTCACTGTTTCTATCCCATAAGCCTCTGTTTCTGTCTGTTTCAGTATTCTCTTGTAAAGGCATTTTCTAAGCTGAAAACTTGGCTGAACAGTTGAGAGTCGAGGTCTCTTTCTCCCTAGGAACACTCTGTATGATCTCTTTGACTATATCTAGGTCGTAGGAGTATAAAACCTAGAGTTTTTGTTTAGCTGAAAAAGGGAAATTGAATTTCTTTTTTTGGTTTCTTTTTCTTTCTTTCTTCTCTCTCTCTTTTTCTTTTTTTTTTTTTTTGCCTTTGTTACTAAGCAAGTGGCTCCAGTTTTAACTCATTGCTCATCTTGCCTGTTAGAGAAAGAAACATCATCAAACCATTATGAATCGCATACACAGCTATTATTCCTCAGACTAACTTTCCCACTTCGCTGGAGCCTCTTGTGGGGTCAAAAGCCGTAGGGTAGGATGTGGTATTGAACCTGCTGCCCCTTGGAGCAATGCCGATTTTTGGTTCCTCTTGATATTTACAAATCAATTGGATGATTTTGGGGAGAGATTATTTAGACAGGGCAAACTTTTTACTTGTTTGATGTGTGTGGGAGAGAGAAAAGGAGAGAAAAAAACCCTGAACCTTGGATTATTAATAATTAA